TCCCTCTCTCCTTGAGTTTTACCTCTAGATGTGTATCAGTTTTCTCTGCTGCCTCCAGGCAGGAGGGTCTGAGGAGGGGGCCCACAGGAGTCCCAGGGCTCATCCCAGGCAGGAAATGTTCCGCAGTACCTGGGCACTCTGGGTAGACAAGGTCTGGGGGCAGCTCCCTCAAGGCTGGGGGTCTCTCTGTGTGTGTGAGACCTCGCTGATGCAGCTGGTTTGCTTCTGTGGGGTGGGTGGTGAAGGCACGGTGAGTCGCTCAGGCTTGGTATAACAGCACACAGACAAGATGTCTTTAGTAAGACTAGACTTTTAGACCGAAGCAGCTGGAGGTTGCAAGGGTAACAGGATAGAAATACAGCTCCGGCTTAAATCCAGCAACACATGCCTCTCTGCTCTCATTTTGCTTCCCTAGAATTATGATGGTATAAGTATAATGGTTTTACTTCAAACTGGATGCCTATTTTTCTTGCTACCACTCAGTCTGCAGGCTATTGCTTTCTGTCAAGTCTGCAGTATGCCCTTGATTTAAGGATCCGAATGTGCACACTTTGGATACTGTACAAAACACGGATGGTACTTGCATAATCAAATTGAAATTATGGTTCTGTGTTATCAACTTTCTGTAGAGGTTCTGCATGGTTAATACTTAACTCAGTGCAGCCTCACTGTGTGGAAGGGGATATTAACGAAGGCTAATTTTGTTCTGAAATGCAGAATACTCCAAGAAGAGTCTATTTTTGATCATAGGTGTAAATATTTGAGTGTATGTCCCACTACCTCCTTTCATACTAAATGAACCATGATCATATTACTGTAAAATTGTTGTGATGAGGGGGGTGTGTTAGGACAATTTAACTGTCTACAAGCATCTACACAACCATATAACTTTCTCCATCAAGGTAGGCTTTACTGTTTTAACTTGGTGCAGATTTATGAGGGGATGTTATGCGTCCTGGAGCCTTATTTGCTTTTACCCAAACCAGTCAAAAGTGTCGCCAGCTCCCATGTCCTGCGACATGGTTACTTGTGTGTCTGCTCCAGGTTTCTGTATCATAGGGTTTTATAATTGTCATGGAAAAAGAAGTTTCCTTGGTTATTTTTTCCATCACTTTGTTGACTGGCAAAACCCTGTGCTCTCACTACCTATTGCAAACACCTAATGGTATGTCTGTGTTCTGCTTTTTTTTTTTAATTGGATCTTTTCTCTTCCAGTTCTTCATGTTTATTTTGTTAATCTTCCTGGCGGAGCTTTCAGCTGCAATCCTGGCTTTTATCTTCAGAGAAAATGTAAGTATCCTATGGTGGGCATACTCTGAACCCCAGTGGAATTGTACCCAGCTGGAGCATGGTGTTAGATGGTGGCTGATTTGTTTGTAGAGCGACTGTTTGTTTCAAATACCAACAAACCTGTTTCATTACTACTCAAAGTTTGCAAAACTGCCAGCAAGCCAGTGAATGCTAACTAACCTGGCATATGCAGGGTGGATGGTTTATGTACACAGGAGATACACGCTGGGGGACTACTTAAATCCCAAAGTTTTTAGAGTCTTCCTGATTCTTTTGCAGCCAAACCAACATTCCATCAGAGAGAAGTTTTATAATAAAGTCACACCAAGGTTAAAAGCAAGTCTTTTCCTTTTTCAATATAGCATGTGTTTAATATTAATAGCGAACCGTCCTGTTTTCCCAACAGAGGCAGTGCTTGCTCTGCAGTGCAAAAACTCTCTTGTGCATGTTCTAATCACATTCCTTCTTGAATTTTCATGTTCTGCTGCTCACCAGACTCCTCTCAATGCTGCTTGTAAGATATCCCTCCTGACCTGCCCTGAGCAAGTCTCCCCGCGTCCTGTTTTGAGCCCCATTAATGGAAGCCTTGCATACTGCTCTGCTGACAAGTTTCTGGTCCCTCTCTCCACAGCTTCATATAGCCTTTCC